AGTACTTGATGACCAGAGGGAATACTGTAGTGAAGGTGGATCATTTTCGATTCAGGTTTATGAGAGCTGCAGTTTCCTTATCTCTTACCATTGCTTCTGTACCTTGGTTTTTCGCCAGCTCTTGGATAAGATGTTTTTCTTTAGTGAACAGTGAAAAGTGTCACAAGGAATTTCATTACTGGCTGGACTGATTTAAAAAGCTCACTGCTGCTTTAAGAAGCCAGATTTACATATTTCACGTTTAAAAAGATTTACAATATGTCTCACATGCCTGTATAGAAAGATGGAGCTTTCATTATAGGTTTAATGTCACCGCGATACAAGGATTAATATTCTTTCCTCCGCCTCGGTCTGCGCGGCTGGTCGCAAGCGAGTGGCGTGTTCCTGGTTGACTAAGCTGTTGGGATGTTTTCATATTCAAGGAGATGCATTTTTGAATAATTAAAGCGAGCTTTTACATTCCTCTGGGGAGAAATCCACAGACAGCAATCCTAGAGGAAGACCAAGGACCGGAGCATCTTTCCAGGCTTCTGGTTCTGTTGCGCACTGGGGAAAGAGGGAGAGGATTAGTGGCTTTAATTGTGACGGTTTTTTTGTATTGCAAAGCCAAACCGGAGCAAGGCTCGAAGGGGTAAATTCTGCCCTCGGTAGGCACGTTGCAGCCTCAGTGCAGTCGCCGTTGAAGGCTGTTCCATGCTCTAACAGACTGGGATATGTCACCCTGAGGAGGTATCTCCTCACCCGGGTGTGACGCAGAACACGAGCGGGTGGAAGATGCCGCTCAAGTGCTACGTGATAATTGGGCACTTGGGGATGTGCCACGACATGTTGGGCAAATGTTTCCTGCGAGGTCCCGCTGTAGCACAGGTGGGAATTTCTAATGGGCCGTTGAATGTCACACACGTGTTTCCTTCGTGCTGAGATGTGGTTATTTCTCAGCTGGTTTCACTGGGGCAGGAGCTGCTGCAGGGTGATGGGAGCTGCATCCCTGGGTGCTGGAGGATGGGGGTCCGACGAGGGGCTGTCAGAACAAACTGTGATTAACTGCTGGCCAAAACTGGTCCCTTCTGAAGATGCAAACCCCTTTGGTTTCAAGGTCTGTGTAGTTCTTTGAATAAGCAAACACAGCTTTTTTCACACTTTCCTTACTGGGGCTGGGGGAACACACGGTCAGCACCAGGATGGTGCAGGACTGGGTCCTCTCCTGGTTGTGCATGATGGCGTTTTCTTCCTTTAGCTTTGCCTTTTGACAGACATTTTTTTTTTTCCATGTGTGTGATGAGATGAGGGGGGGCGGGAAAGCATTCTACACTGTTTCAGAGATTTTTAAACTTATTTAAGATGGCATGGGATTACCAGCTGGTAATTTCCATGAAGCTTCTCAGTCATCGAAAATTTGATTTTTGATAATATGATGTAATGTTTTTTTCTGAAGAAATAAAGTCTCTAACACTACAATAAATGTTATCTGGATTTCAGCATTCTGATGACACTGAAGTCATATGTTAAATGTGTAGACAGATCTAGAGATGTATGTATGTGTGGGCAGTATACTCCTACCTATATTTACACACAAACTATAGATTTAAATATAACTTGAATTGACTTATGCAAATAATTTTATAAATTACTGGAAAGAAAATAATGTGTTTATACTGAAGTTATAGTTCTAGTTAAGAGGAAGCTCTGTTTTTTCTGCAAATACTTGCTTTTAGAGCTTTTGTTGTCCAAAACTCAATTTTGTTTTCCCTCTGAGGATGTTAAGTCCTTTCTCTCCCCGAGCCAATGAACAGTTCCGTTAATGTAAGCAGTATCAGAGCTCACTGGGTACGCTTATTGCTGAATTAATAAGTATCTGGGAAAATAAATAGTTACGGCGCAAGCGGTGAAATTGCCTTATACGTTAGAAGATGAGATTTAGCACAAATAAATGTATGTTTGCCCCACCTCCTAGCAGCATTGAAACTCACCCTTTTGACTGTGTGATTTCATATCTGTGCTCACTGCAAGATGGAAAGGGTTTTCATTTCAATGGTGAAGTCAATAATTATGGAGGGTTATCATTTTCGTGCTCAGGAATTCATGTCATTTTCATAAATCATTCATTTCATTTCATAAATCATGCTTTACAGCTGGAGAATGGAAACTTATTGCTGGACATTGATGAAAATCTTGTTTCAGTCACTCAGGTAAGGTTGTGACACTAAAAATGTTTTAAGGAAATATAGATGAAATCACCTATAGGAACAGTGCAATTTGAAAATGTTCGGTTTGGGATTAACTTCAGTGGAACGTAGCTAATATCAGATGTGAATAATTTAAAAAAGCGTCATGGGTGAAATCAGTTCTGTAGTGCCAGTGAAATCACAAAAATAAAAGATTTGCTGTCCAGAATCTCATATGCTGCAAGTGGATAAAACGATATCTGTGTCAGAGAAGGTACATTCATTTATTCAGGCTGAGAATTGGGTTGTAGAAAAAAAGCCAGGTCCAGATTTGGGATCCTTTTGTGACTTAAAAATTCCACCTCCAAGTGTTGCAGTTTAAAGGTGTCTCTAGTAAGTAAATGGGGAAGTTGTGTTCCCACTAAATTTCTGTTTACATGCTCTGATGTAATTCTGTAGCTCCCGTTGCACATAAGGTGACTATTCCGTAAGAAATAATTCCCCTATAAACATATTCCTTTTCCTTGGGGAATATTGTGAGTGAGGGTTTATTACAACAAACAATGAAGGCAGCTTTGGTATCACTCTCTCCAGCTGCCTGTTTAGAAATCCACCCGCAGAGTTTCTCTTCAGAGCTTTAACAGAATTATATCTGTGAAGAGTTTCCCGAGATCCATCACCTTAAAGCACTCTGGAGAGTGTTATTATTCCCATTTTACAGAAGTATTGAGGCACAGCGATCTGAGTTGTCACCTTTCAAATACATACCTTGTAATCCTGAGTTCAAAAGTATACTCACATCAATTTTCACTATTGATATGAAACATATAATTTTTTTTCCCACAAAAAAATGTGTAACTTTACAGACACTTTGTTAGTGTAGCCGTGTGTGCCCTGCCCTTGCACATCCCCTCTGGCTTGCTCTCCTGCTTCCTCACCTGGGATGGAACCACTGGAGGATCCTCCTCGAAAGGACACAAGCTATTTCTTAGCAAGCCAGAGAAGAGAAAACAGGGAAAAGCTCAGCAATCATGCGGGAAAAGGGCAGATTGAGGGGTGGTGCTGAAGCAGTTTGGACAGATGAGAAGAGAGTGGCTCTTTCTGTGAGTCAGTGTCACCTGGCATCTCTGGAGCCAGCAGTGCCTACACGAGGCTTGCAGTGATTTCCAAACGAGTGCTGCTGTTGTCGTTATTCCAACTTTTCTGGGCATTTTAACAATATTTACCTGGTGTGTGTTTGCACACACTGCAGGAGTGACTTCACTTGAATGGGAGTACCCTGAAGAAAACATGGATTTTCTTCTTTCTTCCTTCTTCCATTTCCACACAGGGATATATAAGCCCATAAGAGGAAAATATATTGTCATATCAGTAAAGCAATATGATCTATTTAATATAAAACATGATGTGAGGAAACGCTAAATAATTCATCCCTAGGTGCATCGTTAGACATAAAGCTGAGAACCATCCAAGCTGCTAGAAAAATTCCAGATCTAAGCGATCGTAGCATTGCTTTTGTAAATGGGAATAGAGACTGGATTGCAAAAATGCATAAACCTTTGAAATTATTATATTTTTGAATGATAGTCTTATTTCTTAAAGGATCACTTATAATAGAAGGTTTTGGGGAAAAAATCATAGGGCAATTTTGCTCCTGCGTTAGGTTGTGAAGACTGACCAGCCAGCGTGGTTCATGTCCAAAGCGCCACTTGTTGGCTACATGTGCAGGTCAAGACTCAACTGAATTCCAAGCCCATATATGTGATAGGAGAATGCAAGGTCTATGTGCCTAATGTTGGGAGGGGATTCAATGGACTGAGTTAAGATTTGCATTAAGCTCATTCATAATGAGAACTGTGGCTGCCCACATGTGTGGGTGTGATTGAGTATGATACAGGGAAGAAGGAGAGCCAGTAAGCAGAAGAAAGGTAGCGGATAAGGAGCAATTCTTGAGTTCCCATCAAAGCTCTCCAGAGTTGTCACCCTGATAAGGATGGTAGGTGGGTTTTAGGTTTCCTACAGCGCTACAAGGGATCCATGCTTTACCATCCCTGGCCCCCAGTTGAGGTGGTTTGCAGGTGAGGATGGATAGAGAGGGTAGTTTTACTCCAGTACATGTGAAGGAGCTTTGATTACGCAGCCACTCAAGGTGCTCCTTGTTATGAAAGTGCCTCTTCTCTTGTGGCCCAGTTGAGTGAGACCTGGATGGGTGACCTAGTTTGAGACCAATCTGAAGGACGCCCTGAGAAAACTTTTCTAACATGAGTTGAACGTAGAGCTACAAACCTATAATAACCCAGTTGTGCATCCTCCTTCAAGTCCACTTATCCAGGTCACAGCTGTCCCATGGGCAAGGCGAAATCGGGCAGCACTTTCAAAGCCCTTCCCTTCTGTGTCCTTCTGTCACTTCCACTGTCCGCTGACGTGTTTTAAGACCTTGCAATGGGGGTTTAGAAAAGGAGCCAGGGAAAAGGGACTGCCCATAAATCATGCTTGGTGCTCACAGATGTTAAGGGCAGAGCAGTAATGCATCCAGTCCCGTTCTGGATAGTTTTTTAGTTTTTTCATGCTTTATTCATTTTTTTATGGTGGAGAATTCTCAACAGAATGATTTTATAGGGTCAGTTTCTGGCTCTTCGGGCCCATCAGCAATATCAGAATCCCACAGCTTGAACCCATGTGCTTCCTCCATATGGGACTTGACATTTGAAGTGGCTTTTGGGGGATTTATATTGCTAGCTGTTACTAGTTAACTTTGCAAGTTGTAAATAGTTAACTCACAGTTTCTTCTCCTCAAAAGATAAATGAAAATTTTTTTTTTTTTTCTCTTTACAGGCTGTTACCCAACTAGAGCTTTTTGGGGACATGTCCACTCCTCCTGATGTAACCTCTCCCCCAGTGAGTACCCAGGCAAACTGAACTGTGCCTTTTTCTATGTGCTATTTTCAGCACATTTATTGAGCACATTTACAATTCAGGTCATCAGCCATTCCAGTAGGGAGCATTTCAAAGTGGTTTTTATGTTGTGAGAAAATAAAAAGTGAAGCGAATTGAATGTGGAGCCACTGCTTCATGGTGATGTGCGAAAATATCTTCAATTTTTATTTTTCTGATATAGGGCTAGGTGTCACATAAGATATAACCTGAACTGCAGATCTCCTTCCCTGGTGTTTATCAGAGACGCATGCTTCACTGCACTCTGTCTGCACTGCACTGCAGGAGGACCCGGTTATAGCCTTATTTATCATGTCTCTTTGGTTCCACCAAGCATGTATCCCTTCCTTAAAGGAAGGAAGACAAAACATTAGAGAGGGCTGAATGTGTTTTGGGGGCAAAGAAAATTTTCTCAATGTGCTTCTCTGCATCATAAAATGAAAACACAATCATTTTCCTGTGAAGCTTAGCGTAACATTAAGCTTTAGGGAAGTGTGAATATATTGAGAAAACTGAGGTGCTGTGGAGTCAGGAGCCGCACATCTCCGAGGTATTCCGGAGCATGTCTAGGGCTAGATGCTCAAAGTCCTGTCTTCTCATCCTTAGCTTGCTCAGTTAGGTTGGGTTTCTCCTTTAATGTGGACCTCTGGTTCTGATCCTCTTGGCTAACTGGAAGCAGTATTTATCCACTTCTCCATAAATCCTGCGGATACTTCATTTGCCTTTACTGTTTCTTACGTTAATGCCTTGGTCCCTGCCTCTACTGGTTGTCACCTAACACCTAGAATCACAAGTCTGTATGTTCTAGAGAAAGAAATTATGTCAATATTTTTCATGTGTCATATTCCAGCCTTTTTTTTTTTTCTGGTACAAAGTCTCTAATTTTCTGTCTTTTTCTCCTGTCTCCAGCAAATTCTAATGCTCTTGTTTCTGTTGCTTCTTTGCTTCTATATCTTTCGATTCTTTTTGCTTTCTCTTTCTTCCCTCCCTCCAAGCCTGTATTTTTAGAGTTACGGATGATGTGACAGCAAAGCATGTGCTGCAGAAGCTGTGGCTGATCTGTCATCATTGTATTTTATTCCTGTCTTCTTGCAGACTCCTGCTACTCCAGGTGATGCCTTTATCCCATCTTCATCCCAGTCACTTCCTGCTACTACAGACATGTTTGGTTCTGTATCTTTCAGCACTGCTGCCGTACCCTCAGGTAAGAAATCCACTGGAAACAGAGGCTTGACTCAAATCTGGTGATCAGTTCTCAGCTCTGGTTTGCACTTCAGTACCCAGGGCATTAATTTAGTGCAGCAGAAGTGGGGAAGGATGTTGAGGACAGTGCTGCAGGGCAAGGCTTTAACACGCAGGGAGAACATGATTTTGAATTTACCCACATTTTTTAAAACAGAAGCCAAAAAAGTCCCAGGGAGTTGAACCATAGTTCAGCCATCTGGATAACATACCTTCTAGGTACAGTAGCAAAAGAGGAAAAAAAAATTAGCTTAGCTTTGCTTTTTTGGCAGTAGCAATGGCTATCCTGTGGTGTCTCCAATAAACAGAGAACGAGACATGGAGAATTTGATCAAAGGTGTTCCACTTAGTCAAATCCTGATATTTCCTTTAGACTTTCCTGTGTTGCTCGAAGTGTCCAACATTCCACAGCCTGTGTAGCATTGTGCACAGACACGCACAGCATGTGGTTCTGACTGCTGATCTCTCCCCGGGATACTCAGAGCACTGCAAGAGCAGCGCTCTCAGCACCACTCAGGAGGAAAAAGGAGGAGGAGGACCTTGAATCATTCAACAGTGACTTTCTAATTGGGTAACTCCTTCTCTGAGGCTGCGTCACAGCATCTCAGGAAGGTTACACTGATGGGGAAGTGTTTGGGGATAACGTCAGATGAAAACCCTCGCTGCTCGGGTGAGGTTACAGCGGGGGCGAGATAAAAGGACATCTGGAGAATCCATCACAGCCACCTATTGAGATAGATATGTATCTGAGTTACTGTTCTTTTCATCATTCATTAATTTGATCTTTCAAAGTTCAGAAGATACAGGAGGACTCAGAAACACACTCAGGTTAGAAACAGGAGTTTTAAAGCTAAGACAGTATTAAAAAGTAAAAGAGCTTTTCATATTGTAAAGTATTAGCAGTGAATCATTAATTTAAATGTGAAACAGCGTGTCTGTGAAGCATAGTACTTCTGTCAGTGGAACATAATTGTATTATGTGGTTTAATTTGTAACATTCTTTACAGTAGTTTCAGTTTCAGAGCTGTTGGGGTTTTTTTCATTGTAGATAACAAAGCACCTGATTGTATAATTCCTACACAGTCGAACTCTTGGTAGCTTGAAAAGAAGGTTCAGGTCTGACGGGAAGCAGTTATTATTTTAGTGTTAATCTTTAATTTCCTCCCCAACTAGAGAGGTTTTATGCTAGCATCACACCTGAAGCAGTCTATTGTTACTAGGTATGTAGGACAGCAGAAGCTCGGGTCCCTTTTTATGTTCTCGAGTAACCAGGTAATAGCCAAAGGTGGCTTTTTTTTTAATCTGAATTCATCTGGGTTCTTTTGATTATGCAATTTGGGACACTTGCTTTGCTTTTCAGAGTCCCAACGGTTTGAACTGTAACTGTGTCAGAAGAGATGGCACAGAGTCCTTCTCTTGCAAGAAGGTCACACTGTCATTAGAGAGCCCTTGAGCTCTCATCTAACATACACAAAGGTGCTTCTCGGTATCTTGGAACCAGTTTTGTAGCCGTGCCATTAACAGGAGTAGGCTGGTGTTCCAGTCACTCTCCCCAGCAAAGAATAAAAACGAAAAGGATGAGGAACTGCAGCAAAGCTCACTGAGGAAGAGAAGAACCTTTTTGTTCAGACAAGGGGAAGGATTATTGCCAGTATCAACCAAATTGTGGTTTTGTATACAAATATTTGTTCAGCAACGTAAGTTCAACTTCAGTTGAAGTGTCTTCAGTTTTCTTCCTAAGTGCGCTGAAGCTCTGGGATCACAAATGTAGCCTGCATGTTTTTGCTTCATTGTGTAGCTTTTCCTGCATGATCTTGACAGTAGTGTTAAAATCTTTCATCCTTTTTTTTTTCCCCCCTTCTCTCTTTATCCTTTGAAGGTTATGTTGCCATGGGAGCTGTTCTGCCCTCCTTCTGGGGACAGCAACCACTTGTTCAACAGCAGTTGGCCATGGGTGCTCAGCCTCCAGTTGCTCAGGTGATGCAGGGAGGACAGCCGATCGCGTGGGGCCAACCCGGTATTTTTCCTCCTACTCAGCAGCCGTGGCCATCTGTAGCTGGTCAGTTCCAACCAACTGCCTTCATGCCAACACAAACTGTTTTGCCTTTACAAGCAGCCATGTTTCAAGGTACCATTGCTCCTATAGCTACTGTTCCACCCACAAGTGATTCCAACAGATCGAGTCCACAGACAGACAGGTCCAGACAGAAAATGGGAAAAGAAATGTTTAAAGATTTCCAGATGGCTCAGCCTCCACCAGTGCCATCAAGAAAACCAGATCAGCCTTCCCTCAGTTGTACCTCAGAGGCCTTCTCAAGTTACTTTAACAAAGTTGGGATGGCACAGGAAGCAGATGATTGTGATGACTTTGACATCTCTCAGTTAAATTTGACTCCTGTGACTTCCACAACACCATCTACAAACTCACGTGAGTATTTACATGCTTTCAGCCATACCTTTCCTCAGATGTGACTGCTCCTCAAAGCATTTCTTTTTTTTTTTCAATGCAACACAGATATGGACTGAGAACCTTCATGCATGGTCTAGCTTATTAAATGTGTTCCAGCCATAAAGAAAAATATCAGAGAGGAATTTCAGAGACCATTGAAATCAACAGCTCGGATAGCTGCTGTCTGAAATCTAATTTGTAAGAAGACAGTAGTACATTTTCTGTGCTAGGGACAATGCAAGCTGGTTGGAAAATGCCCATGACATTCAGCCTTACAAATTGTTTCACTTACGTCCCATTCAAGCCATACTTTGCAGAAATTAGGGGTTGGGTATTTATTTTAATAGCTTGATGTATTGAACATGTGAGGAAATTAATTGAAGAGCTGTAGAATAAGCTTATCGTGTTCATACCACGGAGATGGGGGATTTTACAGATTGCTGAAAAGAGGAATTCATGAGACACAGATTTACCAGGAGCCAGCCAGAGACCTTCTGTTTCGCTTACCTGCCACAGGGCAGGCGACTCATGCATTGTTAATGTAACGTAGTCTCATCTCCATGGTTCCTAACGACATATGCCAGATGCAGCCAAATTTAATTTGGAAATGGCTGAATGAAATCAGATACATGGAATTGATCATGACTTTGGTGTTCAAATTTACCTTACACCTCCTCGACTGAAAATCATTTCCGGGGGTAATAAAAGTTGGGGGCTCTAAAGCATGAGCAAATTTTGTGCTACTATGTCTTTTTGAACAAATTAACAGATACATATCTGTTGCTGTTACCTTAATCTTTGTTTAGCTCCAACCCCTGCACCCAGACAGAGTTCTCCATCAAAATCATCAGCATCTCATACCAGTGATCCTGCTGCAGATGACCTCTTTGAAGAGGGTTTTGAAAGCCCAAGCAAAAGTGAGGAGCAAGAGCCTGTGAGTAGCACCAAGGTTTCTAAATACTGATTAGCTCTTTCTAGCTAGAAAAGACAGAAGTTACCTAAGTGTTCGGTAGTGTCAGAAATAACTATTCTAACAGTGCTGGCTGGTATTTAAGGGTGAGCTGCAGACAGCATTCACTTCCCAGTTCTGTTTTGATAGCTAAAAGCGTGACATTTGTGTTGATATGCACTAATACTGCATACAAGGAACCCAACTCAGAGTTCATATGTAAGGTTATATATGTTAGTGGTATCCAGTTCCCTTTTTAGCACACCAGCATTCACCTGCTGATGGTAAGGGAGTCCGAGGTAAAACAACAAACATGCTGAGGCTGCAGAAGGAGATGTGAGAGTTTGTGTGTTAGAAGATGATGGTTGATGTTGTCTTGCACATTCTTGCATCCCGGTTGCTTGCCTAGTTACGTTCCTCAGTGTTCTGGCCCTCAGTATGTGATTTCTTTGCCTTAGACTCAGTGGACCAAAGCGGGAAATGTTATCCAAGCAGTGACTTTAAGTCACAGTTGGGTAGATAAGAGCCCAAGTGAGCCAAAGGCAAGAGGGGGACTGTACAAAAAAAGATCCAGTACCTTCTGAAGTCTGTGGCAGCTCCTGCGTGGGCTCCAGCAGGCACTGGTGTGGTCCTTTCCTGCCTGCGTCAGCTGTGGGAAACCATTATGGCTTTTGAGAACATGTCAGTGGTGACACTCACTTTCTGGTTTTCATGAGATAGGATGTACTTGTTATGCCCACAGCATGAAAATAACCTCGTGTTGACTTTTCACTTTCTTATTGTTGAGAAAAAAAGGTGTTATGTTCTTGTATTCTAGCCTGATGAGTCTCAGGCCTCATCCAACAGTGATCCATTTGGTGAGCCAACTGGTGATACTATAAGTCCACAGGTCGGTAGCTAGATAGCACAGGTTGGGGTAGGTATCTGTCCTTTTTTTCTCTACACCTTGAGGTGCTCGCTTATTCTTCCACCAGTGCCTACCATTGCTTTCATGGATGCATGGTTTGTTTTTTCCTTTTCATCTCTTCCGTTTTTCCTCTCCATTATCCACAGTGTATTCCTCATGCTCAGTGATTTGCATGGCTTTTGCCATTCACTAAGTGTTGCAACTTATGCAAATATTTGTGTTTCAGCTGCCTGCATGCTTTAAAGAAATGTAGACTTATTTTCGTTGTCAGATTCTAAGGTGAAATAGGGAACCTGAGCCATTACTAACAGTGCATTAGGCAGAACATTTTTTTGTTATCAAATTCACTCTGGCCTTTAGTCAGATGTAACATATTAAATGGAAGAAAACATCTTACCCACAGACATAACAAACATTAAATGAAATTATGTAATGATTCATGAACACCTCTACCCTAAATCAATGTGATAATCAGTAGAAGAAGCATATTTATCACCTGCATGTAAAAAATATTGAAATAGGTTTGTGTATTTTTATCTCCCAACTGCAAATTAAAAACATCTGAAAATTATGATCATTCATATTACCTTTGGCATACTGATGTTTTAAAAGTTATTCATCAAATGTAAGTCACTTAAATCCAGACAGATGGGAAAGATGATCTTTTCATCTTTTGTGTTACAGAACACGCTAGAAAATGTGGCTGCCAGGAAATGTTCTGTGATTTGCTTCAATACAGTATCTATGTTTTACCAAAAAGATAGTAAAGCTACAAAGTTTTATGAGTGCTGAGCATTGTTATTCCATCCAAATACTCTCTAGTGTTACTGTTTGAGGGATGTGTTTCATTATCTTCTCCCTGTCTGCCATTCTGTATTAGCCAAAGAAGTGATCTGATACTGATACTGCGGCTGTGCTTCAGCACAGAGCTCCTGGAGCAAACCAGTAACAATGGTACAACCCTTTTTATTTTTGTGAAAAAAATGCACTATGTTTACCGGTGACTTGTCCACCCTGAGCCGGAGTAATTTGGTTTCAACTCAAAATTAATAGCTTCATTAGGATTCAGTTTACTTCATACATTGAATATGGTTAAAAAAAAATCTTCCAGTGACTTAGCTTTCATCCACTTGGGAGTAATAAAATTATCTCTTAATAGTATGTGGTGCTGTGAGAAGTCATCTCCCCCTTCTTTAGCTTCACCACTGTAATGCTCAGCTCGTTGAGGCTAAAGCAGGAGTAACAGTGAGCTTTGTGTCTCATTGAGTCTAAAAATGACAGTGTAAGGATAGGGTCAAGTCGGGACAAGCTGCTCTAGTGAGAGCATCCTTTGGTTATTGTACTCCAGCGAGAACTGCTTCTGCAGGTTGGTGGTGCCACAGAGTGATTTGCCTTTGCCTGACCTCACCCAGCACTGACATACCAGGCTGTCCCAGCTTCAGACCATTTCAAGAGTTTTTTCCTAGACCAAGAAAGAGAATTGGACCTTTATCTGAATCTCATGCTCTGCAAACACATATACTTTTTTTAATGCTATTTATCCTAGTCGGGGTAATTCTGAGATTCATCGTGGGGAGAATAATGATAAAATCTCTTCTGAATTTTCTGACTGTCACAAAGATAGGTAGCATCATTTCTAAACTAGCATCACCCACTAGGTTTACCTACCAAGAGTTCTTGAGCTAGCTTGAAATAGCAGCTTAAGTCTGTTAATGCGTATTACTGTGTAAGGCAATCAAGTGGGGAACTCCTCTTGTTCTACTTTTACATAACACTTAGTAAAATATATTATTTTATCAGTCAAGGGTCTCTGTGAGCTACAAGAATGGAATATTACCCATGATTCCATATGTTTTTTCTATATTTTTTGTTAATCCTTGTAGAGTCTTGCATAAAATATGTATAATTCTCAGAAATGTATTCTAGGAAATGTTAAATAATGTTACTTATTATCGTATTATATTAATTCCTAAAAACTGTAGGCAGGAACAGGGGGCTGAACAAAAAGAAAGCCTCTATGCAGTGAAGTTACACTAATATCATTGTGCCTCTGTGCAGTGCTATTCAGCAGCAGTCCCCAGGAAATCCACTTGCTAAAACCAGCCCGTCTAATTCTGAAGCCTAGTATCGTCAGAGCAATGGAAAATCTAATCTCCATGGAAAATTATCAATTCAGGACTTGGTACTGTGTTATGTATTGAGCTCCACGTTTGGAGAAAAACTTAATGGGGAGAAACATGTAGTACAAAAGAATCATAGTCTGTATAAAAGTGTGTTAGATGGGAGATTGCTTTGCTCTTTAGGCCATGGTTCTTCACACCAAGAACAGCACAGTATACAGCTCGGATGAACGGACCTCTCGGGAGGGTGACAAAGTATTGTGTTCAGAAATGTTGAATGTATCTGTTGCCAGCATCTCTATGAAATCAGCTGTGCCCATATAGTATCTTTACTTACCTTGTCTTGATGTATTCAGGACGCTCACCTGCCTGGTATTTTGTATCCTGATTTTTCAAGGTACCCTAGCAATTTGGTTTCTCAATTCCTTTTGATATTCCATATTCTCATGTAGAAATGATTCAGCATCTTTCAGTTACTATCTTCTTTTCTCCATTTTTCCACTCTTCCTTCTGCAATCTTCAACTTAACCTCCCAAAATCCTCGTCCTAGCAGTTGCCGTTCTTGTAAGTCACTCTTCTACAAATAGCTGTGGGTTCTTCATAGGTAAATGTGGCATTTTATGGATATGTTACATTTTTGTCACCTTGTGGTTTTGGATTAAAGCAAGAAGTTTGAACAGAGGCATTTTCCCCTGGTCATCCTCTTTGCACCCGTGCACCAAATCAGCCTGAGTTATAGGCTGCTAGGTGTAGACCCTGCCCATGTGGATATTTCTGTTCTTGGGGGTATTTCAGCCTCAGTGATGGGTGTAGCACACCGTTACACTGGGAAGCCCTGAAGCTCTACAATTGAAAACTTGGCAAAGACTATAGAAAGGGGAGCTCTCAGGCATGATGAGAAAAAGGAAGGAGAGAAGCAGACTTCTTCAGATACCTATGGTTATGTTGGCCAGAGTCTCGTAATAAAACATCCTGATTGTGGAAAGAAATCCAGCCCGAATACTGTGTTTGGATGTGCCAGATGTGGTCTAACTCCATATGGACCACCCGAACTGGTTCTTGAAGGCAAATTAGCAACAGGCTGAAACTTCTGAAAGAGAATAAGGGAATATTTGACCCCACAATTATTGCAAAAAAAAGTCATTTTGAGTGCTGGAACAAATGCAGCTCTATTGATACCCTGCCCAGTTCAAGACTGGCACTGGCAGTCATTCATGAGACATTCTCAGGAAACCTTCAAAACATTTGTGGCTAGAGCATATCTTCCTGAAAAAGTTGTTTAGTTGTTCTGTGAAATGTGTGCAGACAATTATAAGCCCTCAAAATATGTCACCCCCTTCATGATATATCAGCACTGTCAGGAGAGCAACAGTTCATTAGAATATTTGTCTGTCAGCTTTTGGTGGTTCTTCGGTGGCCTGCTGCCATCATCCATCTTGGAGCGAGTGCCATTCTTTGTGATAAATGTTCCTCATAATCTTAGCTCCAGGATGGACTACTATAACTCTTTATTTGGGCTGTTATTGCGAAGTTGAAAGAAAATAGCAACTTATGGACAAAGCATTGGCTTCTCTGAGAGCTTGGTGAGCCTCAGGAGGGCATATTAAGCTGATTCTGCAACCCCTTCTTCCTGTCTGTCTGCTTCCCGTTGCGTGGAGAATCTGAATGGGCTCAAAGTACCAAAGACTATATTTTCAGGATCTGTTCCCATTGTTTATCTGTCTCAGTAGGAACTGAATAGAGTCCAAAGAGAAATTTATAATGATTATAGGTGACCTGTTGTTACTGTGGGCTCTAGACCTGTCATTCTCCAACCAAGGACACAGCGCCCAGCAGGGCTGTGAACCCGAGAGAGAGGTAGGTAGCGTTGTGCATTTGGAAAGGGATCACAGCTTGGGAAGTACTGCTTCATTCCAGAGAAATCTGGAGTTGTCATTTCAGGCCCCGTGCTCATTTGTTCGTCATTGTATTTCCCAGAGAATCTGAAGGGACAAGACCAGAGAAATCCAGGCTGCTCTGTGAACAGAGGCATCCTATAGATTTGCCTTCCTCTCCTCTGCTACAATCCCCCTGGAGCTATCCATTTTAATACAACCAGCTCCTACACGGGTTTCTCACCTCTTCCAATGTCTCCAAGCCTACCTGAAGTAGCCAGGTACCCTTCCATTTCTCCAACTTCTTCCTCTGAACAGGAGACAGCACACTACGTAGCTTGTCTGGAGCCATGTACTTGCTGATTGGCAATCCAACAATTCAATTAGGGGACGAGCTCTCCTGGCTTTCTCTGTAATGAGGTCATTTAAAACCTGCACAACAACTGATTTTTAAAAAGGCACTTGTGATAATTTAGTGTCCGTGAGACTTCAGAACAATGTGCTTCAAATTGGCCATCGGGTTCAAAAGTTATGAAGGAGAAATGACAGATACGTAGATGGAAAGTATAGTTGTGTGGCTACTGGTTTGTTAGGAGAGGGGCCCAGAAATAACAGGGGTGTTTCTTTGCACCAAGATGGAGCAGCGTTCATCTTTCTGAGTATTTCTCACTGTTTTTTTCATTTTATGGATGTATAGCATCCATCTTGATAGTAAAATGACAGAGATTTTAAAATACTAATAATTAAACTAGATATTTGAGAATAGGAAATATTCCGAGGCAGGTTTATAGTAAGAATAGGGGCACTTTCCAGTTATAAGACTGAACTAGAAGGTTTCTGTATTGATGCTGGAAATAGAGGCTAACTGTAATAAAAATAACCCAAGATAACCCACTGGCTGTTAATGGGCAAATAGGAATTAGCCATCTTAGCACCAAAGATATTTACTTTATCACCAAAGATATTTACTTTGAATCCTGCTTGCCAAGTTTACTGTGTG